CAATACCGTAAGTTGGTAATGCAGTTTCCTGTAACACTAGCTACATGATATTTCGATTTTCAATTATAAAAGTAGTTTTTATATTTTTAAGAAATAAATAAAGAATTTCTCAATCGAATGAATTTATATATATATATATATATATATATATATATATATATATACAAATAGAATTAAATTGAAAAGAGTTAAGATTGAAGTGAGATTTGATTAAAGGTACAATTAATGTCTCCATGTATTTCGTTTATATATTTACAATTTGACAACAAAAACATTAAACATAACAGGCAGCCTCGCTCTCGACCGGAAGGTGTATTTCAAGTATCTTTCTAATAGAGCGCGAGGCCAGCTAAAGGTCACATAAATATAATTATATCCTTCATAATAAATTCATTACAATTTGTATAATGTGTAACATGTGCTCGTGTATGTGTGCGTGCTTGTGTGTATTCGCGTGTGCGTGTGCGCGCGCACGCGCGCGCGCGCGTGTGTGTGTGTGTGTGTATATATATATGTGTATGTACGTTTGTGGCAAATATTTGTGTAGTTGCACACGCGTGCATTTTTGTATATATTCATATGTATATGTATATATATATATATATATATATGTATATATATAATATATGTTATTTAAATTTCTTAACATCGTAAACTCTCCCGAGTAATGCCTTTCCGCATCTTTTTATAACGAATACTATATCCAGCATTTTTAAATCTTTTTTTCTTTCTTTCTTTAAGTTGTATTTTTGAATATAGTTGGATTGTCCATACTTGATGATATCGCGTAATTCGCACTCATGCTCGCATACCTTAAAATGTTCGTCCAACGAGATATAATCGTTCTTCTTTATCTCTCCATTCTTTTTGCCTTTTCATTCTCCTAACCATTTTCTATTCTCGAAAATGAATTGCGAAAGTATCGATCGATCGATTGGATTGATCAATCAACTGATCGAAATATTTTCGTCTACGAAATAGTCGCATGATTAATTGCTAAGTCTCGTTTATTCCTTCTCTCTCCCTCCTCCCCACCCCCGCCCGCCCCTCCCTTTTATATCTTATCGAAAAACACGCAAAACACATTCTTTGATTTTGTCTTGTTTCTTCTTTTCTATTCTTTTTTTTCTTTTTTTCTTTTCTTCTTCTTTTTTTTCTCCTTTTTTTGTTTCCCCCTTTTTGTTGCTTCTATTCGGTTTTCGTTCGATAAGTTTTTATGTACAAAAGTTTTGATTTGATTTTTATTATGTAAGTCTACGTTTGATAGCTTTTTATTGGCCTTCTTCACATACACATTCGATCAATCGCAATCCTCATTTTCGTACCCTTATGCTTTTTCTTTCTTTTCTTCTCTTAAATCTCTTCTCCTTTCTTTTTCTATTCTTTTGCCTTTTTTTTTTTTGCTTTTGATTTTTCTTTTTGGTTTTTTTTTCTTTTTTGATTTTTCTCTTTTTCTCAAATCACCCTTTCAATGTCGTGGCAGTGTAATACGCGTAACGGATTTTTATCCTTATCCCTTATTAATCTTACGTCTATATGTATAATCATATTTTTACAAAAAATTCACGAATAGCATATACATACATATACGGTGCGAGAGAAACAACTGACCGAGCTTGGCTTACATTCATTCTCATTTTGCATCGATCGATATTAGGTATTAAAATAAATGCAACAAAAATCGACGTATTCTTAATGACGTCTATATCGATACCGATAATGCTGAGTTTTTTGGACCTTTTTGTTTTTCGCATTTACTTTTAATTATTGTTTTTGTTATAGACAATAGAAAGAAAATACTTAACAGAGAATATGCTCGGCTCTTTCTTTTTTTTTTATACTGTTATTAGGTGATTAATTTTTTTTGATATAAATTATATAAGAATTCATTAAAAAAAGTTACAGTATTAATAATTAGTAATTAATAACTAATAGCTAATAGTTAATAATAATAATAATAACAATAATAATAATAATAATAATAATAACAATAATAATAATAATAATAATAATAATAATAATAATAATAAATAATAAATAATAATAATTAAAATAATTATTTAAGTAATACTTTGTTATACATATTTCATATTTTTCGTTAAATATAATTAATATATAATTAACTTTTCAATATTAAATTGTCAATTAATTAACTTATTTCTTTATAATATAATATTGATTTTTATCGATATGTATCAATATTTTACTGATATTCATGTATAGCATAGACGGTATCGATGTCCACGTCTTTATGTATTCATTGATTTTTCACGATATTTTTAAAATACATTGTAAAGAATAGAAATATGGCAGCGGTTAATATGGCAGTATTTAAATTACGAGGAAACATATTTACATTGAATAAAGAGTTATGATATAAAATGAAATATTGTAACATCGAAAGTTTGAAATTTTCGTAATGATATAAATATATCGCTATATAGCAATCATTCTTACGTCGATGCATAATATTCACAACGGCAATAGCAACGATGCAATATGCGAATTTTTTATAAGACAGCTTTGTACATCGTGATAATAAACAGGTAAGATCATTTTTTGACGATTGAACGTATCGAAATTATTATCAATACATACGAATGACGAGTTACGATTTTTTCTTCTTTTTTTTTTTTTTATTTTCCTCAACATAACTAATATTTAAAGAATAATTATTAATTGTCAAATTAATAATTTCCATGAAAGATATTTAGAAACGAGTAAAAAAATTTAATTGATTTTCTTTGATTGTTTGTTACACTTATTGTTGTCATTACCATCCGAATATGTTGAAATAATCTTTCTTATTTTTAATTAAAGTAGGCATAACTTTTTCTTGTTCTTTTTTTTTTTCAGATGACTTTGTTTGATAAAGTTTGTATTCTCTAAATGCGACGTCTCTAAATCATTGATATTTTTTTGTTCGACTTTTCCATTGATAAGAAAGAAAAGAAAAGAAAAAAAAAATAAAAATAAAAAAAAGAAAAAGAAATATTTGGAAAGTAAAAATAAAAATTTGGAAAATAAAAACGTAAAAAAAAAAACGAATGAAAAATTCGCGACGTTTTTTTTTCCCTTGAGAAACAAAAAAAAAAAACAAAAAAAAGAATGAATAAAATAAAAAGAGAAATAAAAGGTAATACTTCTCGATCTCGAATTCGATATTTCCCTCTGGATCATCATTTCATTTTCTTTCACATTTTTATTTGTTTTTCTACATGTCATCAAAAACAAGAAAGATATTGTTCGATGGTCAAGTCGAATGCGGCATGGTATGCACACATAAAATAGATAAAATCTTAATACAGCGGTATCTCGTACCAACGTGCGGACGCTGTAATAAATCATAGGCGTCGCTTCAAAGTGTCACTTTCAGTATAAATCATTGATGTGCTCGCGATAGGAGATAAATAATCGAGTAGACAAGCTTTCGCTTGTGACTTTGAAGGATCGTCTAATAGCCACGAGGAGAATCATTGTAGATGTACAAAGCTCTTTGCTCTCTCTCTCTCTCTCTCTTTGTCTCTCTCTTTCTCACACACACACACACACACACACACACACAAACATACACACACATACACACACTCATTCTATCTTTCTCTCTTTCTATTCTGTCCATCTCGAGCATTACTCGCACACCCACACGCGTACACGAGCATACGCACTTGTTCGAGCATTCTTAAATGTAGAAACAGAATATGGATGAAGAAATGATACGCGTTAGCGAAGTTTTTCTTCTTCGCTTATTTCTCTTTTATTCTTTCACATTTTTCTTCTTAGAAAGTAGCAAACTTTGGCTTGTTTACGGTATAAAGTGTTACGTTATGTATGTACAAGGAACATCTAACATCGTGGTGGATTAGTAATTTATACACGAGCTTCTTCTTCATGTTTTTACCTTTTTCTTTTCCTTCCTCTTTTCTTAATTTTTTATTTATTTATTTCTTTTTTTTTGTATTTATTCCTTTTATTTATCCCTTTTTTTATTTATTTATTTCTCTTTCTCTTTCTCTTTCTCTTTTCCTTATTCTTATTCTTATTTTTATTCTTATTCTTATATTTATTCTTTTGATCGTTCGTTTGCCTCTTTGAAGATCCATCTCTCCTTTTTATCGTTAATACCTACACGGTATATATCCTGTTTCAAAGAGTATACACGTATTTTATACATATTTTATTTCTTAAGTTATTCAAAATACGAAAGAATTGTTTGAAAAAGAAAACAGTGTTCTCGATTTCTCGAGGGAAATATGCGATGTGACGGATTTAAATTTTATTTATTTTTATTCTTGTATTATGATTTTTTTTCTTTTTTTTCTTTTTTTTTTTCTTTTTTTTTAACAGAACTCTATGTATTATATTTATATATTTTGTATGTATGTATGTGTGTGTGTGTTTGTGTGTGTATATTTATATATTTATATATATTTTTTTAAACAAATGTAATTTTTCTCTAAAATATTCTCTCGTTTCATGAATAAATCTTAATAATCTTTTCGTGATACACGTATACACATTTGAACAGAATTTATTCAATATAGGTAAACGTTAAATTGTACATGGTGATTCAATAATTTTATTATCAATTTTAAGATATAAAAAAAAATCCGAAAATGTTTCATTTATTATACAAATTATAATAACAATTCGATTTCAATCGTCGTTTCCGAATGATATCATTGAAAGTTAAAAGAAAATTAGAAAAATATCCATTGATTCACCTGATATAATTTATCGAATAATTACAGGAAGAAAAGATCATGTTTAATTGTTAGTTTAATTGTATTTCCTCTTTCGGCCAAATTCGGATTTCGAATCGTTTAAGTAAATGATCGATCATAATTCGATCGATGTCGAAAATAATTAATCGCGGATATTAGTCGTAAACGATCAAAAATATGATCGTTAAAAAGACGATTCGAGTTATTATCTTTTTTCTTCTTTTTTCTCTCTCTCTCCACCTCTCTTTTCTTTTCTTCATCTTTTTCTTCTTTTTTTTTCTTTCGTTTCATTCTCCCACCTTCCATTTACATTAAAAAGGAAGACGCGAAGCGTTTAGGGCATGAAAGTGCATAGAATTGTTTCGGACGTTTCTCTCTTTTCCCCCCTCCCATCTCCTCGTCTTTATATATTGTTATTTTTTTTTATTATTATTTTTATCAGACAAGGAGGCTTAGAGCAAGGTCGACGCCGTTAGGACGTCCGGGACGACCGGCTTCGGAGGGGGGTCTAAGCATCAGACTCGCATTTCGCTCATCGTTGCTTGCGAGACACGGCTCGAGACGGTTGTGCTCTGCAGAAGGGGTTGATTTTCTGGAGGACTCTTCGCACGGGGTGGTGGTGGAGCACGTGGCACTGTGAGGTGTATAGATCCATTCGGTGGTCCCTAAAAAAAAAAGAGAAAAAACAAAAACGAAAGGTGTGGCAAATCCTTTATACATTTTTTCTTTTTCTTCTTCTTAAATTTAAAACATTTAAAAGTAACATGCATCGACGATAATCCTGTCAATCGCACATAAAAAATAAAAAAAAAATATATATATATATATATATATATATATATATATATATTCGTTTCGTTTTTGTCAAGTATTTTTATTTCACGCAAAATTTATAAATAATTTTTATTATTATCTGATATAAAAATTACGCAGCATCTTTTTCTCAGGATGTTAAAATTTACGACATTACATTATTATTTTTTTTTTATATCTATGTATATATCCAAATATAATATTTAATGTATAATTATATATATATATATATTTTTTTTTAGAATTATAATAAACGTCATGTTTTATTTTTCCTTTTTATTTTTTCACTTAGAAAATTAATTATCGATTAATATACCAAAGTTAATGCTCGTTAAGTTATAAGAAATAAGTTATAATACAAGTTTCAAATATTTTATAATTTCTTTTTATTGAGTGAACGGGGATTGGTAGGAAAATAAATTGGGTTATAGAGGGTTAACAAGAAACGAGTTCCACCGGTTCGTTCAAGGAATTCGAAAACTTCTTCGGATATGCTAAGAACGTCGTTGTAAAGTGAAAGGCAAAACTTTTCTTTTTCCTTTACTCGTTTTATTCACAGCGAAACATCCGAAAGATTTCAACAAGGATTATATTTTTCTTTTTTGATTTTATTTTATTATGTATAATATTTGAAAGTAGCGAGAAATATATATGTATATATATATATATATATATATATACAAAAAAAAAGACATTCAATATTCTTTGCTTTTTTTTTTCAAACAACAATCATTTTTCCAAGGCAATAAAATTGTTCATTTATTTTTGTTTATTATTTCTTTCGATTTAATAACGAATTTTTTTTTTATAATACACGTACGTTGGTATATAAATATCTATGCATGCATTATATTATGTATTCTATAGGATCTATTCTTTATAATAGTATCTTCCACTCACTTGAGTTTGCGCGTTCATGTCCTGCATGACCGAAGCACGAGGGAGCGTGGCGTGTTGTTGCTGATGTTGCTTCTGGTAATGATGTTGATGCGGCAGGGTGTGTGTGCCTTGTAAAGTGTTAGGCTCGTTTGGAGGCCCTTTCATCACGTTTCTAAAAGGAATAGAAAAAGAATATTATTATACAACATTTTTTATTTCGTATCTTCTTTACTAATTTTTCCAAGAAAAATAGCAATTAATTAATCTAACAATATAAAAGAAAGGCAAGATATCAAGGTTAAAATATGTATACGATAAAATAAATATGTCTATGATAAAATGAAATTAATTATATATTTAATTAGCCACTGCAAATAATTTATAAAATGTAAATATATATATATTTTGGAAAATGATTCAATCGTGATCGGATTATTAACATAAAAATATAATCTAAATTTATATGAAAAATTTTCGATAATTTATAAAAAAGACGTGAAATAAAATGAAAAATATATTGATATATTTTCTTTGGAAATTTTGTCGTCTTACCTTCTGAGCATTTCATTTTCAACGTCAACGATAACTTGACCACTACCAGGAAAATGTGAATGTGACGAGGGTGGTTGTTTCAACTCCGTGAAACCGCGCGGTCCACACTGTTGATTCAACATCTGTTGCTGCTGGAGGCTTTTGACCTCGAGTCTCGTCTTGTCTCGCTGATAATAGACACCAGCAAATATGAGGACGTTCAATATAAGTAGACTACAGCCAATCGCTATAGTCACGCTTAATGCTGTCGAATATGCAGCGTATCTGTAATATTAAAAACAAATTGGCTAGATTTTCGGCTAAATTTTCGAACTTAGCGATTTCTTTTTTTTTTTTTCTTTTCGAATTGCTGTTATTACCAATGACGAAGTTATAGAATTTATTATAATTTTTATATCATCATTGATATGTTACATGAATTTTGTTTTTTTTTTTTTCATATCGTTATTTAAATCGCAACATTTATAAAAATTGTTTAAAATCGATAGAAATAAAAAGAAAAAAAAAAAGAATAAGTAACGTCTGAAATATTTAATACAATAAATTCATAATTGTCTGGATTTCTTTTAAAAGTAACTTACGAAAGAAAATTTCGTTCGATTTATAATCTATGTTAATTGCATTTATTATAAATTTTAAATACGCGATGATCGATCTATCATCCTTTCGTTATCGTTCGTATAATTCATTTAATTAAATGAGGATAGATTACCCAGCTGCATCGAGACTCGCCAAAGTGTCGGTACTGGCATTGTGCATATTTTGTAGATTTGTGCTTTGAATAAGACTGACACAGGTGGTTATACTGTAGTCGGTTGTGGTAGGTGGTTCAGTGCTTATATTTTTTCTTTTAAATTCCTCGGTGATCCTACTCAAAGGATCTGGCCTGACTAAACCATCGTAAAGACTTGGATCAGCGTGTCCTCGGAAAAGATTGTGTCTCGAATCAACATCTTCCATTCCAGCACGATGAAGTTCCGGTACGAGTCGTAGCCAAACGGAGAGCTGATGAGCTCGATAATGATTTTTTACTTTTGGCCTCATTCCTAAAAAAAAAAAAAAAAAAAAAAAAATGTTAAAAGAAAAAAAAAGATCTTTTATTTGTTTGCAAAAAAGTATACGACGATAGATAACGTAAGTATCATTTTAATATTTTCTAACTAGTTAATTGTAGTCATTTCTTTTTTTGCATAAACATTTATATTTTATATTTAATTGGAATATTCAATTAAAAAAAAAAAAAAAAAAAAATTCGCTATATTATATAAGATTCGTTCGAATCGAACGAATGTCGTTATTACATTTTCGATTCGTTATTAGTTACGGTACGATCGAAGAAATATATTCGAAATCAAAATGTATTTATCGGATTAATAGTAAGCGAGAAGTATGTATTATGACAATTGAAATATGGGAAACAAAAGGAGATTATTTTAACGCGTTACGATGTCCGGCTATATTTTCAACGACGAAAATTTAATATCGACTTCCGAGAGCGATAATTTAATCGTAGAATGCTATCTTGGTATCGTACCAATATTCTAGATAATAAATCTGCCTACACTATGAAAATCGTATGTAAATATGAATCATTCAGCGACTCGCATGATACTATTCGACTGAATTATATACATAGTTACTTAACTATCTAGATATATAAGGAATATTTTGTATAATTTATGATATAAAAAAATTTTGTTCGTTTAATTGATCTTGAATTATATATAAAAGGGGGGGGGCAAAAAATTATATGAAAAATAAATAAAAAAAGTATCATGGCTTATCAAAAAAAAAAAAAAGAAAAAAAAATACAAAAAAATGAATTCAACCATATTATAATACAAGTTGAAATTCTGTAATATTCGGCGTCATTGACAATTTGAATTATTAATCAGGCATGGACCGAGAGTATGACGTAAACATACCGATCAATTGTCTCGTCGAAAATTTAATTGGGAAAATCGCTTGGAGATAAACCACAAGCTGACATTGTTGTTCGACTGGCTTATTACTCATTGACAGAATTGTCCAAAGCAAATGTAGAATGCTTTGATCAACGAAAGGCTTTTTCTATTTTTTATTTGATAATATTTATATGATACATAATAGCAATTAAAATATTTAATACTAATTTCTATTATTTGAATAACGACATGTGAATTATTTCAATGAAATTTGTAAATTATTATTTTTAATAATAATTATTATTTTTAATAATAATTCACAAATATTATTTTTAATAATAATTCATAAATATTTTTGTTTTCGATGAAAAAAGAAAAAACTCATTTTTTCATTTCTTTACTTTCTTTTTTCTCAGGAATTGATTTTAATCAGAAATGGAAAAAAAATGGTTGATAAGAAAGCTATTGATTAATCGATAAAATATTTACAGATATGCTATATATATATATATAAAAATAACAATGATCTGGGTATATATAAAAGTTCTCCTTTCTGATCGTGTCAGTTAATATTGTAAGTTTGGCGGAATCAATTAGTTACAATGGCGGGTAAGTTCTATTAAAATATCGATATTTAATATATTTGTAAATCAATGAAAGTATTTGATAAAAAATAATTTGATAAATATATATATATATACATATATATATATATATATATATATATATATATATATATATATATAAAAAGATAAGATCTATTAAACAATAATTGAACAATTTAAAAATAATCTAACATATTCTTATATTAATATTAACACTTTATATTAATATTTTTATTTTTTTATTATAGCAAGTTATCAATTGATAATTACTTTATCAATCTTTGTGATTTGTGCCTATGGTTATTATCCGGGTGACAAACCAATATTACCAGTACCAACAGAATGTCCGTTAGTAGATCCCAAAGACTCTACTGTACTCCTTAGTCATGAAAAATATTGTACAAAATTCTACATGTGCTTAAATGGAGTTAGAATTGAGATGGATTGTCCAAAATCTTGGAAGGGTTGTTCGCTTCATTTCAATAAAGTGCTACAAGTTTGTGATTATCCAGAACGTGCTGGATGCGGTTGGACCATGAAGGACGATGAAGTAGAAGATCCGAAATGCAGAAAATACAGGAAGAATATTGTCAATAACAATAATGTCAAGAACTATGGAGAAGAAGAAGAAGAGTGATGAGAAAAATTTGTACTCAGAAGATCCCAATGGAAAAATATATTCTCACTATTAATCTTTCTATAAATATTATAAATGTACAAATGGAAAAATTACCAGCCTATAAAAACTCAAATAGTAACTGATTCTCTTAATAAAATAAAAAAAAAAAAAAAAAACTATTTTATTTCTGAGTTATTCATTAATTATAAATATAATTATTCGTTAATAATTATTAATTAATACTTAATTATTGACAATAAAGACAAGGTGCGATAATGACTAAGATCGACATTTTAATTTTAATATATAACAGTTTTAGTATTTTATATATTTGAAATGAACTATACCAAATAATCTTTAACTAAAAAATTCTAAAAAAGAAAAAGTATAAAAATAAAGTATATTAATTAGTTAATATTACTTTTCGCATTTTATCGTGTACTCACGAATTCAATTATGTACTTTTGAAATTGTAAAATATTATTTTTCGAGTTAGACTTTATTTCTTTAGGATAATTTATTTTCATAAATATATACATATATATGTATATATATATATATATATATATATATATATATATATATATATATACACATATAATTTAAAGAGAAGAAAAATGTCCGTTTGTGAAACAGATAGTTACGTTTACTTTTGGGCGTGTTCGTTTGTTGTACAAAAAAAAGGGGTGATAAAAAAAGTGTTGGTAATTAAATCCTCTTTAGGGTCGGAAACGTTCTCATTCATTTTAAAACGTCATTTTGTCTGGCTTGATCGCGATAAAATAGGGAGTTATCACGTATCGTTCTTCGTCCATGTGTACGTAAAGTTTCTACCGCACACTCCTCGAATTAAATTCGAATTATATAAAGGAAAGAAATGAGAGGAGATATCGTTTCCCAATGACACGCAATGTTACCTAGGATACGAGAGAAACGTGCTTTGAATTACTTAACAGTACGTTGTTTTAACGGGGGTACTTAAGGGTACTTAAAATTAACAATTAAAATGCCAGCTAATTTTGTAATTAGAAATATTAAACTTTAATCTTTATATGGTTACATGGAAACCTGTGACCCTTTGTTTGTTTGTTTGTTTGTTCTTTCTTTCTTTCTTTCTTTTTTTCTTCTTTTTTTTTTCTTTTATTTTTTTTTTTCTTTCTTGTTTCTTGTTTCCCTCTTACGATTTATGTGCGAGAGAAAACGAAATAAGTTACGCGCATAGCTGGTAAAACTATAACCGTCAGTTTGAAACAACTACCACATAACTTTTTTCGATCCTTTCTTATATTTCCGTGTTGACCTGTCGACAGATAAAAATTAAAATTAATTAGGACAAAAATTAATAGGGATTATTCTTTCGTTTTAACTCCTGCTGATTATTTTCAGAAAGTAATTAAACAATTCTGTCGAATGATATTCTCTAAATTAATTAAAAAAGAAAAAGAAGAAGAAGGAAAGAAAGAAAGAAAGAAAGAAAGAAAGAAAGAAGAAGTTTTTTTCCATAACGTTTCCATTATCATTTGTATTTTCACGATTAAATAATCGATGATTAATTAATAACATTTGACTGATATTTTTAATCATCTCATTTCACGATCGGATAATTTTATTATAATAATATAATATAGTATAAACTATATTTTTATATTATATATAGATATATAATTTTTTATATTAAATTATTTTTATACCTAAAATCGACTTTTATGATAATTGATAATTCATAAAGATATTTAATTGATATTTTTTGATTTTGTTTTCGTTTATCGCGTAAGAGCAATAAAAGTTATCTGATATTATCCAAATTGATATTATTCATTCGACCTTTGTTAAAGTTATTATATCGAAGAGTATTTTATGATTTAAAAAAAAAGAAATTCTCGACCTTGTTTTAATTGAATAGAATATGCATTTTTCATTTGTAGTCACTAATCCTCCTATTCGATGATAAGTAACTTTGGAAACATCCTGTATAACTTGAGGAAAGTAGATTATCGTAGGAATTTCGATCGAACGCTTACACCGGTTGTACATCACTATCGACGTTCGTGGTTTTCGTTGATGTAAGGAAGAAAGACCAAACCCCTTGTGTTTCGATTCGAAGGAAACTACCTCTAGAAACGGATCGCTGATCAATGAGAATAGCCGAAGATCGATTGTAGGTCGCCTTTAAACTATTATTTCATCCTGGATAACCCCTAAGTTCCAACTACGATTTCTTTTGTCTTTTTTTTTTCTTTTTTCTTTTTTCTTTTGATTTTATTTTTTGTTTTATTTTTTGTTTTCTCCTTCTTTCTTTCTTTTTTTCTTTCTCTTTTCGAACCACTGCGAGTGAAAGCTCATTGTAAGAATAGAAGGTAGTAACATAAGGAATCGACAGGAACTTGTAATCTCGACTAATTTAGTAGCAATTAGCACGATGTTACTATAGCTACTTCATTTGAACATCAGCACCAATTATCCTGTCTTCTCGGTTTCCTTCTTAACTATATATCGTATTATTTTACAAATTTTCCTCAATATATTTTTCTATTGAACTTTTGTATTGATCGTATCAAGAACATAATAACAATAAGTTATTACGAGATATAAAGTATTGAATACTTTTTTTTTTTTTCTTATTTTTTACATATACTTATGTTTCGATTTAATATATCCACGATTTAATATAATTAGAATTAAGGGCACTTTGTTAAATTATTATTATCCCCGAACAGGTAAAAGTAGTGATAAAATTGTGAAAAGGATCTTCTAATATACTTCATAATTTCTTTCGAACTTATCAGACATCCTACAGGTATTATATATTAAATGACATTAAATGAGCTCATGATAATAAATGTGATTACGTCGTGAGTTGCTTATTTTAAAATGTTAACAATCGAATGAACCTTGTACCAGTCGATAAATTTTTCTATCATCTTTCACACATACATACACACGTTACTCGTGATTAAAGACATAAATGAAATTCATTGTCATTAATCATAATCGTTTTTACATTGAACTTTATTCTTAAAAAAAGAAAAAAAAAAGAAAAGAAAAGAAACGAAAAATCTTAAAAAGAAGATTTTAAACTGAATAAAAGTAGTCATCACAAACGTATTCCGTAATAATAAATTGCGAACTTCTCACTTTTTTTTTCCTATGAAAGAATTTTATACGATGATAATACGAAGATAAACGTTAGACTTGACTTTTAATTTAAAAAAAAAAAAAGAAAAAGAAAAGTATCGAAATTGAAGCTCATAAAACGTATCGATCGTTTCGTCTGTAGATGTATTTTTCGAAGGACTTCGGATAATTTCCGAGCTTGACGATAGAAAGCGAAGCAGGACACGACAAAGGCGATATAACTTTGTCTCCTATCATAAAGTAATCATCGCCCACGGCATCGGGTTATGACTGTCGGAAATATCGTTGCCTCCAACGAAACTTTACTCTGGTAAAACGAGCTTGGTACGTTCGTCGACGTAGAACGTGTAGAAGTGAAGAAAGAAAGAGAAAGAAAGAGAGAGAGAGAGAGAGAGAGAGAGAGAGTTTACGATGAGTATTACGTGTATGTCTTTTACCTTGCCAGAATTCATTGCTGAATGAACGAAAGATCACCGGTTGAGTTAGTTGAAGAATTCTAAGGTTAATGATAAGGAGACTGAGAAATAGGGCAAAACTTGACAACTTCAACCTTTCGACGATGTTTCCACGATAAGAAATATATATATCGTTAGATTCAAATTAATCATTTAAATGTATTCATTCATTATATCATGTATTTTCAACGATTATAAATTTCAAATATATATGCTAACATTTTACGAGATAAGACAGAAAAGTATCAAATAAAATATGAATAATACTTGTTTTTTTTTTCTCTTTTTTTTTTTTTTCATTTTAATTGAAAAATATTACAATTATTAAATACAATACGATTGTTGTTAAATAAAATATTTAATAGAGACAAATACTTTTTATTATTAAATCATAAATTATTTATATATAATATTGTCGTTTTATTGGACATCGTTCAAAATTTAAGAAATAAAATTTTATAAATATATATACGCTTGCAGTGATAAGATATAATACAAAGTGATAATGACTACCGATTATAGACGCTGCATAGTTATCGATGATCATACTAATTTATCATTTTATTTAGATAAAAATCTTAAGATCGGTTTCAGGACTTAGAAAGTCATATACAAGATTATGGTATTGCGATAACGTATCATTAACTATCGATATATTTATATATGATATTTTCCTTTATATATTTGTGTATTAATCATCTAAATCGTTTGTCTCTTAAATCATCGTTAGCTAAAGTAAATTTAATAAAAAGCTTAACGTAAATTATTATATTTAAAATGTCAAAATAAGTTTGAAAAACACATTTGTTTATCTTTCGAATGATTAATAATGCCGTAAAAAATTGAAAAATTGATAGGTATGAATTCTCGCTAATATTTTTTTCGCTAATTAATTAATTAATTAATTCGTTGAGCTGATCAGCGAGCAGTCAATTGCAACGGGAATCCCTCAAAGTTTTAATTTAGCCCTGTTCGTATTATTGCATTCATCATTGTGTGGTTGTTCTTCTATCCTTGTTGGATCACTCGCAAAAGCTACCGAAGGATGAGGAAGTTTGTAACGTGTCGACCGCAGCACATGTCACGAGAAACATATAAAGCGTAACACCGAAAACGGTGTGTTCGTTCATGGTATACGTACGGTCTGCACTCCACGTTCGAATTAATTTGCATCTTTCGAAAATACAAGAACGCAATTGGATTTGGGTTTCATAGAGAATCCTTTGACCATTGACCATTTCGATCAACGTCACTAGTGTATTCTTCCCATTTGATTTCCTGTGGTCGGAATCTAATTGTTGTTTCGATCGATGCATTTAAAATTTTTTTTTTTTTAATAGAATTGTTTATATTAAGAGTAAACATACGCTTAATGTTATTCAATGTTAATAAAAATCTTTTGTATTATCGTTTTGGAAAGGTATATGAGACGAAATCTTGTAGATCATGTGATTCTTCTTTGAAATTATTAAGATTTTTTTTTTTTCATATTAATAAATTTCTATTATAAATTTTCTTCTTTTTCAGTGTATTTATTTAATAATGTCGTTCTTAATATTGGATCTCTTCAGACTATGGGATCATCGATTGTCATGAAAGAAATATTTCTTTTTGTGAAACTTTTGGCAATAACTCGTGACATTTAATTCATTTAACATAAAATATAAAGAAAAAAAAAAAACGAAGTATAATGAGAGTAAAAGAATCGACAAAAAAAAAGGATAGAAATACAAAATTAAATAAATATCAAAAAAGATTAAAAACGTAATCGAGATTTCTTCGAAATGAAACGAATGATAGAAATGACATCATTTCATTGTAAAGATAAGGATCGGAATATCGTAGCGAATAGAAAAAATAAAAAGAGAAAATACACTATGTCATATAAGGAAAAAGTAGCTTCATAACATATGTTCGGTCGAACGTTAAGTTTACGTAATAATAATAATTTTCTATTGTCATAAAAAAAAAGTGAGTGCATTAGCGCGTTATCGTGGAACACTTCGCTCGTAGTTAAAGAGAGGACAGGGGAAGGGGGGAGGAGCTTGGAGGGGATAGAAGGGTGTGGGTGGGTGAGGTGATGGTCGATATCGGTGGTGCGGTTTATCGATTATCCGAGTTTGTGTGTAACTTTAACTTTTACACTTTGCGTGCAACGTTGTGTGTAACTGAAGTATACTTAGAAGCACCGAAGCGTGAGCTACACAGCTGCCGTGAATACCTGCCGATGATGCCTTTTGATGAGACGAGCTTCAAATAGTTTTCTAAAAGACTTCTTTTTCTTCTTTTCTCTTTTTTTTTTGTTTTAGAATGTTTTATCTGTATATAATAATAATAATAATAATAATAATAATAATAATTCCTTAATAACTTTTTGGAAATTCCAAATATAAAAATGTATAAAACTCGATAAAATTATTCGATAATAATTTATGAGCTTTTGAAGAAATTTGAACTGGACTTTTTCTTTTTTTTTCTTTTTTAATCGTTACACATATGCGATAATCGATAGTAATTATCGGATATAGGTTAAATTAGAAGAAGTATTATTTGGCTCAATCAAATATATATATATCTAATCGAAAAATTTCAACTGATAGAGACATATCGATAATTTTGATAAATATCGTTTAATGTTCTTTAATTCGACGATTTGATCTTTATTAATTCATGACAAATAAGAATCGTGAGAAAGTATAAAAACGTTGGATGATCAAAGTTGAACTATGTCGATTGAGATATTTTCTTAAGTGGGAAGAAATGAGACGGGTTCGTCCCATGTTCTCTATCTCTCTCTCTCTCTCTCTCTCTCTCTATATATATATATATATATATATATATATGGATGTGTGTGTGTGTGTGTATATATATACCTGTGGATATATGTGGGTATAAGTAAAGGAAAGGAAAAGATGTTTCCCATAGCACCCTTCGAAAATTCCTCTTAAGGGGAAAACGATCGTCGTGCAATCTGTCGAGCATGTCACTTCTCGCAAGCGCCGATAGCAGATTGCGTTTTCCCCTTTGAAAACTCGGAAAAAGGGGGGCCCTTTTGGCCTATCGAGCCATCCTCCTTGAGAAGAAGGATAGATGGTAGGTATTTCTGATCGAGCGTTAATTAATCATTCGATCGACATCCTAAAGAAAAAATATATATCTTTCACGCGTCCGATCTGGTGAACGTGAAATTGCATTAGGGTATACGTCTACTCCTGTCAATAATTTCATTATTCTTCTTACATTTACGTAGTTTACGTTCGTACAAGAATGAATGTAAATCGAAATCACGTTTCTCCAATGATTTTTTTTTTCTTCCATGCCGACGCGAAGAAAATTAATAAAAAGTGTAGAACGTAGGTAGATTAAAAAGGAGGTCTTTTTTTTTCTTTCTTTAATCTTTTTTTCTTTATCTTTTTCTTCTTTATTTTTTTTTTTTGTTTTTTTTTTGTTTTTTCTCTTCTTCTTTCAATAATTTTCACGAATACGAACATATAGCGACATTTTTTTCTTGTATTTTTTGTTTCGTTTTCTTTTTTCATTTGAAATTTTTATATCAACTGACTTATCGTAATGATTATTCGTATGATTTTTATATAAGATATTTGAAAAATTTGTCATTTGTAAATAATGATTTGAAACTTTTAGAGAAAAGACGAGATATATAGTATGTATTTACCATTGGACGAATGAAATCAAATCCTAGGGCAGTATAGACACATAGATACATACATATGTAGTCCATCGTAGCGTGACTTGAAGTCAATTCGATATAACACGAGTTTCTCCGATCGATTCAAACATGCATGCATACATACATACATACATACATACATACATACATACATACTTCATATATACATACATACATACATACATACATACATACATACATACATACATACGTTCAAAAGCATCGCCAGCATTATTAGGATCGCGCTGACGAGTACGTTTCCATCAGCTTTTCCAACCGATATCGTCCTTTCGTATTTCATTCGCATGATAGAACCTATCCCGAGTATATAAATTAGTTGAGCGTGCATGGCATCTAATATCTCGTGTCTCGAATGTTAATGTCGAATTCTTTCATTTTCATTTGTTATTATTATTGTTAAAAAAAAAAATATATATATATATTCGACATTTATAAATATTAACTTACCAATTTCGAGATACTTTTGATGTACCGGATCGTATTGATCCCACGTGAGACTTCGAAAACGACTTTTTTCTCTACTAGCCGGTAAAAGCGTGTCATTTCTTGTATGATGATCAACGCCATTTGGATTTCTGCAAAGAAATAATAATATTTTAATGATATTACCATTGAAAGTAGACTTGCGTAGATTAAATTGTATAAGAAAATTTTTATATAATAATTAAACGATAGAATTGTTGATAAAGGAAATTTCCATTAACAATAAATAATACGGCTAATAATATTTATTAATATATAATATATATATACATAATTTATATCGAATAGTGTAAAATCCCTTCCTATAACCGGATGGTGAATATCATAGCAGGATCCATTCGATTTCGTTATGTGGAAGAGGTTTATCATCGAACGATATACCATGTTCGTACATACATACTTATGTATATACATATATAGATACATACATATATACCAAAGGATGTAACCATCCATTGGGACCCGTTCGTGGCTTTTGCCAGCAGCGTTCCTTCGAGGGCCGGAAGTAATACACGCTTTAGCTCGTTCAGTTTACATTAGCCTTCACTCGGTATAGCCTCGCCCTTTGCTAAGGCCCTTTAGTAACAGCCTTTACTTTCAGCTCGCACTTTCGACATCCTTTGAGGGTTTAATCTTCCCTTCTTCGCCTCCTTCTCTCTTTTCTCTTCGTTCTTTGTCTTCTTTGTCGTCTCGTTCTTGTCTTTTTCCAAAGTTACAGATGATACCCTTTGTAATTAGTTTAAGGGTTTTACAAAAGTTTTCCCTCCGACGTTCATCTCTTTATTTCATTTATTTACATTTTTGTTTTTTCCCTAAAGAAATTTTTTCCAGAGAATCGATAATATTTTTCTTCTAATCATTTAACACCCCCCCCCCTCACCCCTTATATTTTATCATTTCATCTTTCTTCTTCTCATTAAAAATTTATATCTTATTAATGATTAAGTGAACTTTCTCTATTGTTCGATGTAAGTACTTACATCGTTGTATAGTTCGTGCGTCACAAGACAAAGAGGGTGAGAGAGAGAGAGAGAGAGAGAGGGAGAGAGAGAGAGAGAGAGAGAGAGAGAGAGAGAGAGAGAGAGAGGGAGAGAGAGAGAGAGAGAGAGAGTACATGTAATCCTATAAAATCTTGTATACGATGATGTATTTTAGAATATGTTCATCTTCTTAATTAATTATCTATGTATGAGCGAAAATTTTAAAATATTACATTACGTTACCACGTAATATTGTACTCTTGATATTTGATTTTCATCGAATTAATCAGCTCTTTGAAACTTCATATATATTAAAATATATTATTAGATTATAATGGGTCATATTATACGTATATAATAAACATTTATATGTTCTAATATCACGAGAGATAATGATTGAAGTAATTATGATCATTAAATCAATAATATACTTAATTTATTCAATTTTATCATAATCGGTAACAAGTAAATTTTATTCAACTTCGATGGCATTTGAATATAATATAATTTCTATATTAATATAATATAATATTTAAATTTATATATTTAAATTTATATTTGATAATGTACTTCTTATGTATCGTCATTCGGTTACATTTAAATTAATTTAACTTCGAATTCGTGAAAATTGCATTTAACGAAATGTTGCACTTTACGCAATGCATTCGAATGTAACATATATTAAATAAACCATTAAATAGTTAAATATAAACAACATTCGCGAAAGTCTCCTTTGAAAGAAATTTTCTTCGCATTTAAGATTTAAGTGCGTATTCATTCATCTTTCTTTCTTTCTCCCTCTCACTTTTCTCCTAAAGATTTACCTTCTGGAAAGATAAACTCGGTAAAATTCGAAAGTAGAGCATATTGGGGTGAGTATTTTATTTAAACAGAGTTAACCATTAATCTTCAAGATTTTATCTCGCGTAGTAGCAAGCCACAGATATTTCCGGCTATTTTCTTGTAATTTTGTGGTCTTAAAATGTTTCCTTTCTCTCGTTTTCCTAAGGAAGAACTCGAAGAGACAACTGGAGGAAAGGAGAGAGAGACACAGAGAGAGAAAGAGAGAGAGAGAGAGAGAGAGAGAGAGAGAGAAGAGAGAGAAGAGAGAAAGAGAGAGAGAGAGAGAGAGAGAGAGAGAGAGTAATAAAACTTTGATTACGCTGTAATCTTTCTTCCTTGATGTAACGCATAACCAGAGAGAAGAGTTTACCCCACGGGGTAAACTTGGCCGTAGAGCTCCCGATGAAATCCTATTGTATTCTACGTTAATAACTATTATAGTACTAGCGAACGTGCTCGTTCGTGTGAAAAGTAGAAAATGAAGATTCTTTCATCTTTTATTCGTTTATTCGTTACGGATATCACGCTCGTATTTTTACAACAGAAATTTCACGATCAAAAAACTTCATGTCAAAGAACTTCATCTTTCGCAAAGATTTGAGACAATAAAAGGAAAAAGAAATTCAACATAGCATAGCGAAATTGATATTACAAAGAAAAAGAGAGAGAGAGAGAGAGAGAGAGAGAGAATGAGAGAGAGAGAGAAGAAAAAAGAATAGAACATCTAAATCGTTACAATATAAATTAATTTTATGCAAGATTTATTACGTACTTTGTAAAGTTTTTCCAATAATAAATACATTTTTGAAATGATAATATTGTCAGATTGTTTAAATCCCAAGATTCATTATTACGCATGATAAGATTCATATAGAAATAAAACTTTTTGAACGAATAATCTTTTAATCGACGATATTAGATATTAAATTTAATATTTATAACTGATCTGTTGAAATCAATTTGTGAATTTAATAATTATAAAAAAAATTATTAAAGAAAAAACAATTAACAGTTGTTAACGTTACATGATTATTATACTTATATATATATATATATATATATATATATATATATATATATACTCGTATGCTATTATTATGTTAATAATTATGTAGAAACATAATATGTATGTATAGCCATCGAAGGAGAGAGAAGAAGAGAGTAGATAGTCTTAAAGACAAAGGATTTCGATGAGGATGCATTCCCAACGAGACTACTGGATAAGTTGTAACAGTGGGGATCGTGTAACCACACGACCGAGAATAATCTATAATGCAAGGGCAAGTTTGGTACGCGATTGTCCCTTCATCGAGAGGAAAGCTCGATGAAACATTATAAAGCTCTCTTAGGTGGTAGATCTTCGTCTAGGAGCCGATGTTTCAGCTAACATAATTCTACGCTTCTACGGTAGATTCCTTGTCATTCGACGAGCCTCTATATCCCACACAGATACACATGGGTGCGCACATGTTTACAAGGAAACGATTAAACTGCCGTGCTAAAGCTTACTACTCCTTTCTCAAGAAACACGTTGCTCTGGTACGATCAACGTGCGACACCTAAACTGAATACGTAATAATCCAGGAGTTTAGAGTAAACACACGATCGTGCACTTAACACCGACTGCATTTAACCCACTCTACCTTTTCTAACGGATCGCTTCGTTATGACTCTCAACCTGATGATCGTGATTGTTGAACTCGTCGGTTTCTCGATTACGATTAACCTATCAACAAATTACCGCAACACGATCTTGGTTCATCGGAACCTGATAATTCGATTTTTATATTAACTTGTTTTTACTTTTTCTTCAATACTTTTTATGAAATATTAATGTTAATAACAGAATGAATGAATTATCTTATTAAAAATGAATATAAACTTTTTTATTTCATTATTTTATTCTATTATTAATTATGTTATATTTTTTTTAATAAATATTACATTGATATAATTTAGATCATATTATTATTACTATGACGTATTTGAAATTACGTACAAACGAAAAAATGAAACATCTGCAATGTTTTACGGTGAAAAAAGATGGTCGTTTTTCAAAAATATCTCAACTCATTGTCCTAAGCGAACTTTCATGCGTTGTTAATTTGAAAGCTGTCAGTTTCTAATCGCCAGCTGAAAATGGCTTATTTCGATTGTTCACGACACGACAAATGACTTCCATTTTCTCGTGCGAAAAAAAGAAGAGAGAAAGGGAATTGAAATCGCGTCCAAAATTGAACCTCGAGCGACGAAATATGCAACATACGAGCGTATAAAAGCTTCTGCTGCTTCTGCAGTTTCGAGATGAGTATAAAGATGGGATGAAGAGAGAGAGTGAGAGAAAGAGAGAGAGAGAGAGAGAGAGAGAGAGAAATAGTAAAGAGAAAAGGACAAAGATGGTGCACCTCTTGATAGAAGAAGACATCCCTGTAGTATAGACTCCTTTTATTGCTTTTAACAATAGACTCAACAGTATGTTTGTCAAGAATGTGTTAATTGTTTGCAATCAAAGAAAAAGAGAAGAAAGGAGAGAGAGAGAGAGAGAGAGAAAGAGAGAGAGAGAGAGAGAGGATGTATAAAAGAGCTTGGTAGGAAGATATTATATAAATGGTAATTCTATACGATATGTTATAATTACGATATATCTCTGTAGTAGTCACACGTATAACGATATTTAACTTTGTTCCAAGTAATTTCACAATGTATTAATAAAAAAAATCTTTTGCTATATTCTCATAATAATAAAATCTCTATGAGCGAAGATCTTGAAAATTTGAAATATAAGTATGCGATATCAAATGGCTAGTATAATTTTTAAAGAGAAAAAGTTGGTATAATTTTTTTAAGAGAAAGAATATGATGTATAAACATTTTCTGTTATTTTTGTCTACCGAAATTATATTGATATATTATGTATAATAGGAGCGCGATAACGCTGAAAGATATAAAGGATTTACGTTTGAATAATTTCGTTGGAAACCTTTTTTCATTAAACAAATATTCATCTTTCCTGCAAAAAAAAGAAAATTGAGTATGGGGGAAAAAAAACGATATGGAAATATTCATACTCTTAACGATAAATGTTAAATATTAACGATTGAATAATATAAATGTTTAAATAAAATAATTTCTACCTTTTATTCTTGCATGATCGTAGAATATGATATATGTTTAAATATTTATTGATATTATTGATATTATCACTGTAGATTTACAATTCCGCTTATCTCGATTTACATTTGATATCATTTTAAGTATAGATCATCATT